GATGGATGGATGGATGGATGGATGGACGGACGGATAGATAGATAGATACAGAAAGCTAGTGTTAGAGGGTCAAGTGTTTTTTATATGATATGATGTAATACATGATATGATATGATATATTTTGATATTATATATTGTGATATGATATATTATGATTGATATGATATGTGATATATCGTGATATGATATATTATGATTGATAAATTATGATATATTATATATTGTGATATATATTATGATATGATATTATATATTGTGATGTGATATATTATGATTGATATGATATTATTGATATATTATGATATGATGTGATATATTGTGATATGATATATTATGATATGATGTGATATATTGTGATATGATGTGATATATTGTGATGAGATATATTATGATTGATATGATATTATTGATATATTATGATACGATGTGATATATTGTGATATGATATCTTATGGAATGATGTGATATATTGTGATATGATATATTATGATTGATATGATATTATTGATATATTATGATACGATGTGATATATTGTGATATGATATCTTATGGTTATGATATGATGTGATATATTGTGATATAATATGTTATGATAAGATATTATGATAAGATATGATATATAATAGTTGAGGTATACCTATGATGAAAATTACAGGCCTCTCTCATCTTTTTAAGTGGGAGAACTTGCACAATTGGTGGCTGACTAAATATTTTTTTCCCCCACTGTATATGATATGATGTGATATATAGTGATATGATATATTATGATAAGATATGATATATTCTGATGTGATATATTGTGATATATTGTGATATGATATGATATATTATTATGTGATATATTGTGATATGATGTGATATATTCTGATGTGATATATTGTGATATGATGTGATATATTGTGATATGATATATTATAAGATATATATTATGATGTGATATATTGTGATATAATATGTTATGATAATATATTATGATGTGATATGATATATTATGATTGATAAATTATGATATATTATATATTTTGATATGATATATTATGATTGATAAATTATGATATATTATATATTGTGATATGATATTATATATTGTGATATGATATATGATGTGATATATTGTGATATGATATATTATGATTGATATGAAATGATGTGATATATTGTGATATGATATATTATGATGTGATGTGATATATTGTGATATAATATGTTATGATAATATATTATGATAAGATATGATACATTATGATTGATAAATTATGATATATTATATATTGTGATATGATATATGATGTGATATATTGTGATATGATATATTATGATGTGATATATTGTGATATGATGTGATATGATAAATTATGATGTGATGTATTGTGATATGATGTGATGTGATATATTGTTATATGATGTGATATATTGTGATATGATGTGATATATTATGAAGTGATAAATTGTGATATATTGTGATATGATGTGATATATTGTGATATGATGTGATATATTATATGATATATTGTGATATGATATATTATGATATTATATATTGTGATATGATATATTATGATTGATAAATTATGATATACTATATATTGTGATATGATATATTATGATTGATAAATTATGATATTATATATTGTGATATGATATTTGATGTGATATATTGTGATATGATATATTATGATTGATATATGATGTGATATATTGTGATATGATATATTATGATATTATATATTGTGATATGATATATTATGATTGATATTATATTATTGATATATTATGATATGATGTGATATATTGTGATATAATATGTTATGATGTGATATATTGTGATATGATATGATATGATGTGATATATTGTGATATGATATGATATGATGTGATATATTGTGATATGATATGATATGATGTGATATATTGTGATATGATATGATATGATGTGATATATTGTGATATGATATGATATGATGTGATATATTGTGATATGATATGATATGATGTGATATATTGTGATATGATATGATATGATGTGATATATTGTGATATGATGTGATATATTGTGATATGAT